TGACCCCCAGCTTCGACATCCCAACTCGTTTTGACGATCCCCCCCAATGTGCCGAATATCGTGACCGTACGTCAAGCGGTTAACATTTGTGCCCAACTGTTGACGGACGCACGGACGGACGGACGGACGGACGATCAAGCAATTCTACAAGCTGCATCTGACTATGTCAGATGCGCTAAAAATGCATCTGTCAATGCACGCATCTACATACAAGTACGATCGCCAGGTAATTTCAAACGGACCTTCGTGACTAACCTTCACATGGCGTACATTATTAATTAAATACTTTACATAATTACATAATTAACATTTGCACGACATGCAATTAATGTATTTTTGTTTTTGCACTCTCGAGATCCATAATGGTACAGGCAGGATCACGAGATCAACTGCACTGACATAGAGAGCATGCAGTGCTATGTTCCAAAACACAGAATTTTGGCACGTAATTAATCACAACATTTCGTGCAATTATCGCATGTTCTAATCCAGCAGGGATTCCTCGTCAGAAAAAATAGCAATTAAAATGAAAAAAATTGCTAGGATTATCCTACGAGTCTGAAAATTACACGTCTTTTGCGCGACACTTTCCATCGAAAGTTACGACATTTCTGACTCATGATATCATGTGTTTATGATTGAATTATAGGTCGACCACTATTAATTCTACATTTGCAGAAAACCTGCGGAAAAGTAATTGAATCCCCGTAACTTTTCCCGAACGAAAGGTGTATCAGTCTTATTCCTCACTTTGACCCCGGAAACATCACAAACACACATCAAGCTACCGCAAATCTAAATCATCACGACTTTCCAAACGAAACTTCACTCGAAAACCGCCCCGCCCCCGTCGCTCGTTCGAGCTAGAAGCGGCGGCGGCGCGGAGGCAAGTTACGACATTTCTGACCCACGACATCACAACCGTTTACGATCGAACCACAGCTGACCTTGAGTGTTGTTCAGCTTGGCGACTACCCTGTGTTCTGCGACGCTGTAGACTATGAGAATTTGTTCGGTGCCGCTCGTCGCGAGCAGGGTAGGGTCGTGCGGCGACCACGCGAGAGCCGTGATAGTCTTCTTGTGCTCACAGACGATGCTGCTGAGCTTGAACCTGCTGTAGCGCTCATCCAGCTGCCAAGACAATAGATACACATGCGGTGAGACAGGGATAGGTATCAAGAGTACATAATAGAAGATATGTCCTATTATGTACTCTTGATGGGTAGATCTACAGACACATGCAGACAGCTGAGCTTGAACCTGCTGTAGCGCTCATCCAGCTGCCAATAGATACACACGCGGTGAGACAGGGATAGGTACACACGCGGTGAGACAGGGATAGGTACACAGGCGGTGAGAACAGCGATGGATGTATATACACATGGTGAAATCATGCACACGCTGTGAGACCATGCAGTGATGGGTAGATACAGACACAGACAGATCAGCTTGAACCTGCTGTAGCGCTCATCCAGCTGCCAACAGATACGCATGCGGTGAGTCCAGCAATAGATGTATGTCCACGGTCAACTCAGTGACAGGTAGATACACACGATGAAATCATACACTTGGTGAGACCAGTGGTGGGTATATACACACAACTCATTAAATAAGTTCATTCGGTTGGTAAAATAATATAAATAACAAAGTTAATTTTTACTCAACCAGCACGGTTGAGTAAAAATTAACTTTGTTATTTATATATACACACAGTGAGACCAGTCTGGATCTGGATAGTTTACTGCGTAGCCCACGGTTACGTGGATAATAACGCAGGGACATTCCGTAAGGAATAAACGTCCAGGGCTATAGCTATAGCCATGAGGTGTGACCTAGCTTAGGTAAAGCCAGGTAGTTAGCCTTTTAGCCGACAGTGATCTATATACATACACCATCACATCAGTGAAAGGTACATACTCAGTAAAATAAATCAGCGATAGGTGCATACACTGTGTACAATTACGATCGACTCACCATATATACGTAAACGGCGAGAGTGGAGCAGTAGGCGAAGCGGTCCTGCGTGCACGCGCATACGTCCCTGTTCCACGGCTGGCTGCCAGCGGTGAGCAAGCTGACCTGCTTTAGTGCGGCCATTAGCTTGTTAATTATCGAAATAAATAAATAAAAATAAATAAATAAAAATCATTCTCCTCCCAGCAGAGCCTGCGGAGAATTTAAATTCTTATGTATTCGTTACCGATTGGTACCGAGTGTATACAGATTGAGATTGGTACTGATCTAACATCACCTATGAATTTAGGCTTCTTCTACTGAGATCCGCAGTGTTGTACTGTTAATCTGTTTATTTGGTCAATTTTGTCTCTTTCCGTCTTCGATATAGTTCCTTGGACTTTGAAGACTATTATTTATAAGGTTATGAGGTTCATTTCTGCATATCGAATACTGTTTACACACGTCACATAGCAACCTCAGCTGATCACTAGGCCTAAAACTGCTGTAGTACTGCCACTAGTAGTAGTACTAGTAGTAGTACGCTTATGGCCAAAGATATTGGCGCAGCAGAGAATGTCGTGATATTATATCTGCGCTGTATTACTGAAAGCCGACTGCGGACGTTGCATGCTTAATTACAACCACTCATCTCAGAAACACAACAACATTGGAATTAATAGAAATCAATTAGTTACCGCATCCAAACGCATTTGTTTACCTGCAATCCTGCGCCGCGAATCGCGCCATCTAGCGGATAGAAGTAATAGGAATTTCTTTAGCAGAACACCTGTTCTGTTATATATGTCTACTGTCTAGCTGCGGGTACCCGCTGCGCTGGGTAAAATCGTGCTACTAATTCATACTACTAATAATGGGACACAATAGGAACATTGGGTAAAAATCGACAATAACATTGCACACAATATGAATATTTAGAAATCAGTCTAATAAGATAATAAGCATGGGAAAAAGCATGGGCATTTATATGACAGCACAACCCAACTTAGAACCCCTGGAACATAATAGTAGGCCTAATATGGTGTAAATGACAAAAAGTTATTATAACAGCATGTACGAATGGGTTGCACTTTCCATTTCAAAACCTCTTGATAAACAATGTTTTTCGTGTTATTCTCTGGTGGAAATATGTAAAGATTCCTGGCGTCTCGAACTGTTGAGCTCCCCACGTACGGCATGCACGTATGGCACGTACGGCACGTAACAGCGTGTACGAATGGGTTGCGCAGTTTGCGCTTCTCGTTTCAAAGCCTGTTGATAAACAATGCAGTCGTAACCTCTGAACTGGCTGATCTGCAGCCCGGATATACGCGNAAATTAATTCGTAACGTACGAAAACGTTCGCATCACAACCGCGGTTGCTATAGACACTCTTCACATGTGCAACACTAAGGTACCACGGTGGCAAATCCACCAATGAGCGCTGGGATAGGGCAAAAATGAGATCGTATTTGAGTGTACGCGTACGCTTGAATTTTGTATTTCTCATTAGAAAGGGTCAGAACTCTTTGCGATTGTTAATTTCAAAAACTAGAATTTTTTCTGAATCCGACAGTGTAAACGGCTCGTCCGAGGTGCGTTGCTGGGGCGGCCCAGGAATTTTCAAAGAAAGCCTACTTTTTGTGCAGATTCAAGTTGTAAATTGCCTATTTCTCGTGTGCGCTGGGAAAGTTTTGTTTACAAGAGAAATTATGGAAGAATTTTTTTGTTAATAACATATATATTGTCACCTGCGACGTGTATTCAGAGGATGGCATTATTATTTGTAGAAAAACCTTGTGCTGATTTATGGGAATTTTTTCGTAAGTATGCCCACCTATGGGAAAGCATTTCCAGGCGTAAAACCATAATCTCCCGCTCCCAACATCACACCGTTGCTCAGGATTCCAGGCGCAAGCAATCTACAGATTTTATATTTCCAGTCGTTGAGTCGAGCACGAAGGCAGATGCGAGTAATTGCGTCAGGTATGCCGTCAGGTCTGTACAGAGCAGGTTCGCATTACTGTTCTCACTTACAACAGCTAATAGCGAGCAAGCGGAAATTCCCATTCATTAGTCGTCTGCCTCGCGTATATTCAACACTGACCGCGTATATAGGGATATATCGATTTTTTCTTCGCGGGAAGCGTAGAGGGTTCCCGAACCTCCAGACACTATAGAGTAATCTCCCTGCTTAACATACCTTCTCCACGCACCCTAATAACTTAATTGTAACGCCGTAGCAACAGCCGCTGTAATATAATACTGTTACATAAGTAAATAATTACTGCATGAGTAAAGGCAGAGGTTATAATGACAAATTTGTTATTATTAAACCCTGGGAAAAGTAATGCAGTCAACTCTCCCAATATATACCGACCACCCACGGGTATAATACAGACCACCTACTGGTATAATACCGACCACCCACGGGTATAATACCGACCACCCACGGGTATAATACCGACCACCCACGGGACCGTCAATTTAGTTCGGTTTTCTGTGAAGCTCGGTGTATAGGGGAGCCTATTCCAGATATATCTTACATGTCTCAGATGCTGGGACTCGAAAATTCGTCCGGTATAACGTGGGATTCGGTTTTTGTAGAGTTGACAGTATAGGCCGTTAATAATAATAATAATAATAATAATAATAGGCCCTAGTATATTATGTGATATAAGTGTCAGAGGATAGACAAGTTAACAAGCTTCGGGCAAGATCTCTGGTTATACTTTTTAATCTTATTCTTTTGTTTCCTTCTATGATGTATGTAAACAATAACAACAACATAATAATAATAATAATAATAATGTGCAAATTGCGAAAATTCTGCGAAAAATTCTGCGATTGAATCCTATGTCCCAGGTTAGACACGGCAACCAGAAGCCATAGCTAAATGCCGTGATCCACTTGGAAATAATAATAATAATAATAATAGGCCCTAGTATATTATGTGATGTAAGTGTGAGTAGATACACAAGTTAACAAGCCTCGGGCAAGATCTCTGGTTATTCTATAATATGTCTAATAATTTTAAATTTATTTATTCGTTAGGGTTTTGCCAGGTTTCTTTTACGAAAGGGGAACTCCCCCGATATATATATATATATATATAATTGACATAATTAAATATGATATAGTAATCGTTCTGCTGAAGTAGCTGCGAAGTTTGTATTTGGAGAGGTTGTGTTTCCAAGACGCTAAGAGTAGTCCGAGGTTGTATTGCCACCTACCTACCGCTCGTTCCATATTAAGCTATGCAGCGTCGATATGCCTATAACCGTGTTCTAACCTTATTTCTGCGGTTCTCGCATTGTATATAACACATTATTGTTTAACGGCGTCAGTCTCACAAGCAAGTTCCAGATAGGCAATATTGTACATGTGGGCGAATTCTCCAAGCGCAGGACATTCTGCAGGATGCATTACGGTCCACTCGTGTCTAAATGTCAGAATCGCCACATATTCCATAGTTATTATCGCCTGTTGTTGTGAGCTGACGGCACGCGCGGGCGAATTTATTTTCACAACACAGTTCGACTATGGTTCGACCACGTCGTTCGTCATTATAGGTTATTAGATTAGGGTTGGGTTAGGTTAGGGTTAGGTCTAAGGTTGGATTATGTCAGGAGTTAGGGTTAGCATCTTGTCATCTGCCATCTGGTGATCAGTGCTCGCGCGCAACGCAGCGCAAAGCCATTCCACACAGCTGAGTGATAGCAGGACACGTATACCGCTGCAATATGCAGTGTTGAACAACACAGGTTGTTGTAAATATGCGACCACCGCCGTTAGCTCGTGTGGGCGGGCCATAATGTTACATATTAGACCAATATAGTCTCAGCGGCAACAGAACAACGTAATTAGGTGTAAGGGTGCTTCAATCAGGTAATAAGCACAGATTTACGCACCGCACGCACACAAGCCACGTTAATGTTGACTGCCAGGTTTCAAGACCAACGCCAATACACACCGGTCTTTAGATGCATGACGACTTCTTGAGCTACAAGAAGTCAAATTAATTGTAAGTAATTAATTGTATAAATATTTGTAGTATAACAATGATTGTAGTATAACAAATGATTGTATTGTAAGCATAGATATTGTATAGATATTGTATAAGTATAGATATTGTAAGCAGATCATTGTAGTATAACAAATGAAATCAATGTCCAGTTAGACAACTAGCTTGACGGCATAAATGTCGCGTCACACCTCTTCGCTATAGACATACCCTCCTCTTTGCTACAGATATGCCCTCCTCTTCGCTATAGCATGCCCTCTTCTTGCTACAAGATATGCCTCCTCTTCGCTATAGAAATGGCTTAAATGCGTACAATGCACTATATAGACGGCAACGCGTTCAAATAAAAATTTTATGGTAATATTCTAAAAACTACACTTGCCACTTGCAAACGCCTTTGTCTTGTGTGGTAGAGGGGAACAATCGTACCAACTTTAACAAATATCCAGAAAATAAATATTACACACGTACAGGCAACGTCACGCGAAAACTTCGTGTCATTTTATTACATCATTTCGGACACTCGAGCGTTGATTTTGAATAGGCCCGCGAACGCCTTTACATAGCTTGAGATTTCTGAGCAAAAAGGAACTACGAGGGATTCCTGAGCAACGCTAGCAAGTAATATTGAGGCAGACACGATTACGCGTTCGTTACCGAGAAGGATACCACGCAACATCGTAGCCAAGGCTTGGATAACTGAAGAATATTCGTCTTACTAGAACACTGCGGCAACATATAAGATTATGACACAAAGAAACCAACTATTCCATACTACATATTATACTATGTATATAAAGCTGCGAAGACCGAGTACGACGTGTTTTACAGTATAAACATAGCTAATCAAAACGCGATGATAAATTAATAGTATGCAAAAAAACAGTTTTCAACAATCAAATTAACATTTGAAAGTCAATTGGGCACAGACGCTTCGTCCATTTCTAAAATATTATACGTCATTGGCAAAAAGCTCAATACTCGCAGAGCTTTCACCCGTATCATAGAAATATATGCTGACAGCGGTACATGCAGGCAACGTCGCGGCTTGAATACTGCTTACATGCTGCTCAGATTGAAAGGCAAGGCAGCCATACTTACGCTCAATAGGGCTGCTATGTGCCCAGGCTACTGCCGCACGTACCCTGGGTACGGTCCGGTATACCGGAACGTCTAC